ATGTAGTTGATTAATAAAGAAAACAGAGGGGAAAAAGGCAATTCAGATTCAAGTTGTGAACTTGGCTAATGATACTAAATAACTTCCTGGGGATGTCATAAAAAATTCCTTAAAGAGCTGTCTGGGGAAAACAGAGACTAAAAGGAAGCCCAGACTAAATGGCTTCAGTCTGCCCCATGTCACTGCTATGGTGGTAGACAATATCCATGTAATGGCTGAATGCCTTTCTATTTGGTGGAAATGTTGGCTTTGGATCCATTCTACTTTGTCTCCTAAGAATGCCCAACAGTTTCTGGGATACTTTTAGGCAAACGGGCCCATTCTAGACTTCCTACCTCCTAGGCCTCTGTATCAGCCTGTTGCTACACAGCTGCCCCTTATCTCCAAAACATCACATAAGTCTTTAACAAGAGACGGACCAGAATGGTGGTAGAAGAGTATTCACGAATGCCAGACAGAGGAAAAAATAAGGGCCTATGTTTTTTCTTCTTTATGACACAAAGAAACCAGTACACTCAAAACCAGTGACAAACACTTGCCATCATTCTATCTGTATCAGAACTGAACCAGAAATTGTATTTCATGAGGTCAGAACACGTAACTATATTAAAGCTTTCCTCAAATATCAAGAATTTTTGCCAGATTATTTGTAAGTCTTAATATTAAAAAGTGATTTTGTAATTATATTTCTAAAACTCAATCTCATTTATAGTGTCAGTATATTTAATAGGTAAAAAATACTCAAAGATACTCAAAATATTAACACTGGTGAAATAACAGGTGATTTCTTTATTTATTTACTTTTTGTTTTTCTTTTTGGCAACAGTTGCAATATAACTTTTTATATCCCATTTTTCTTGGGGGAGGCACTCAATTTAATGAAAATAAACGCTTCCACACTTTTAGGAAGAAGTATACATATATTATTTCTGGAGTTGTTCATCTTGAATTTTACTGTTACGCTCTCTCAACTGATCTCCTGCTAGGTAAATTATATCAAATATCAACAGCAAATCAAAAGTTCAACTGGTTCAAACCAGGATCCAAACCATAGCTGAAGTTAGATCAAATTAAAAAGAACAAATGCAAACATGACTGCCACCACTTACCCCAAAATAAAACTACTTCTTGTTTTTGAGTCAAGAAATGAAAACCTACAGCAAAGGATTCCCTAACAATACTAGAGTGATAATGTTATACATATATAAAGTACCAAAGAGTCATACCAAGAGATGTTGGGATTTGGAAATCTAGTAACAACATTATGAACCTGCCCCTTCCAAGGCAATTTTAGCTTTAAGTACAACTCAACTCCTGACAACATCTCATCTCTGGGCATGTCCAGATGGGAAAGAAAGTAGGCAACTGATTCAGGAAGAATGGCGTTTTTCAATCCCAATTCCACCCGATGGCAAGTCATGAAACCTGATTCTCTGTTTCCTTATCTGTAAAACAGGGATAATAAAAACCACCTTGTGATATTGCTTCAAGAACTGTAGATAATGTATGTGTAGTACCTACAATAGAAACACAGTAAATTATTTTAACTAGTTTGCCTATGAGATAGATAATTCTTCCTTTTGATGCCAATGCTTAGGAAGAGATTCTGCTGTACTTAACATGAAACACACATTTGAAAATAACTGTCTCTGGGTGTTCAGGTTGGCTGAACCCTGGAAGCAAGGAAGTTGGTTTCTCAGCATGCTCCTTTCCTGCCTAATACCTTAGAGTCCATTTCATGTTGCTTCTACTAGTCACTGCTATGACATTCATCCTAATAGAGGGAGGGTCAAGCTGCCTGGGTGTACAAGGTTCCCATTTCCATGTACTCATTAGTTCCTTCTTTTTCTTTCAGGGTCAGTCAACAAATAAAGTAGGCATATAGAGTTGCTGGTTCATTTTATTGATTTTCAAATGGCAATGGAACTACGGGCAAAAGTAGACTAGAAAGAGTAAAATATCATTTAGGAAAATGCTAATGAGTCAGGTTGAAGTTTTGGATTTCCAAACATAAAGCCAAGAGAAATCTGTACTTTGTATTAACATTTAATTTGGCTTTCTCTTTTAGGAAAATATTTTGTTAAGAAGTCTTCCCATGAAAATGCAGAACAGAATTTCAAATTATCATGGACTCCAGAATTCCCGGAGCTATGGGGGTGGGATGAACACCTGAAATACTGCCCTGAGATAATCTTTGAACCTTAAACCAAAAATATGCTCTGAAGTCTTCTTAAAACCAAGCAATAGTTTAGCTTAACTAGTAAAGAATATCTGCTTGAGCATTATGCTCTGTCAAGATCTATGCATGTGGGATCAGACTGACAAGAGCAACTCGAAAGATTAGATAGGAAGCTTGTGGGGCAGTGAGTTTATGTTAATGGAGGAGGAACAACTCAGAAGAGGACGGTGAGAATGGCTGTACAACTCCAAGAATGTAATCAATGTCACCGAATTGTGCATGTAGAAAACTGTTAAATTGGTCTATGTTTTGCTGTGTATATTTTCAAAAACAACAAAATAAATAATATGGATGGAGCTGAAAGACATTATGCTGAGTGAAATAAGTCAATCACAAAAGGACAAATATTATACAATCTCATTTATATAAAAAGACCAAAAAAGGCAAATGTATAGAGAAGAAAGTTTATTAGTGGTTTCCAGGGGCAAGAGGGAGGGGGAAGAGCGGTTAACGGTGATGGAAATATCACACTGATTAAGGGTAGGGTTGCACAGCTGATTACTGTAATTGCTGTCAATAAGTTGTATACCTGTAAAAGCTGAATTGGCAAAAGTTGTGTGACAGATATATATACAACAAAGACAAAAAAAAAAAAAAAAAAAAAAGAGTAGCTGCTGAGGCTGCTTACGTACATCCAAAAACCTCCTGGGATTTAGTTTCTTGGTTTAGAGGTTTAGAGTCATGGTTTCATGAGACATCACAGTTAAATGGCCTAGTAATGTGTTTGGTGCTTCTTTTCTACCTCCTAGTTAGCTTCATAATGCCTGGGGTCTTAAAAGCTTGCAAGCGGCCATCCAAGGCCAACAATTGTTTTCTTTTCACCTGGAACAACAAAGGAGAAGGAGAATCAGGAATAGGAGGAGCATATGGAAATGTGTGGTTAACTGCCTCCACGAACAACTGCCTCCTTTGCCGTGGGACCAGAAGAACTGGATGGTGCCCAGCTACCATTACTTAATATTTTGATCAAAGATTCTATAGAAGAATCCTGATCAAAAGAGAGAAAACGCAGAACAGAATTTCAAATTCTCATGGACTCCGGACTTTCTGGAGCCATGAAGGTTGGATGAATTCCTGAAACTACTGCCTTGAGATAATCTTTAAAACTTAAAGCAAAAATATCCCCTGAAGTGGACCATGGTCTTGGGGAACATCTAGTTCAATTGGCATAACACAGTTTATAAAGAAAATCTTCTACATTCTACCTTGGTGAGTAGCTTCTGGGGTCTTAAAAGCCTGTGAGCAGCCATCTAAGATATCCATTGGTCTCACCCCTTTCGGGGCAAGGGAGAATGAAGAAAACAAGATATAAGGAAAAGATTAGTCCAAAGGACTAACGGACCACAACTACCATGGCCTCCACCAGACTGAATCCAGTACAACTAGATAGTGCCCAGCTACCACCACTGACTGCTCTGACCAGGATCACAACAGAGGGTCCCAGACAGAGCTGGAGAAAAATGTAGTACAAAATTCTAACACACAAAAAAAGACCAGACTTATTGGCCTGACAGAGACTGGAGAAACCCCAAGAGTATGGCCCCCAACGCCCTTTTAGCTCAGTAATGAAGTCACTCCTGAGGTTCACCCTTCAGCCAAAGATTAGAGAGCCCCATAAAACAAAACGAGACTAATGGGGCACAACAGTCCAGGGACAAGGACTAGAAGGCAGGAGGGGACAGGAAAGCTGGTGATAGGGAACCCAAGTTTGAGAAGGGACAGTGTCGACATGTCGTGGAGTTGTTAACCATTGTCATAAAACAATATGTGTACTAACTGTTTAATGAGAAACTATTTTTTCTGTAAACCTTCATCTAAAGTACAATAAAAATTTTTTTTTAAATCACCTGAAGTAAAAAAAAATCCCCTAAAACCAAACAATAGTTTACCTTAGCTAGTAAAAAATGTCTGCCTTGAGCATTGTGCTCTTTTAAGAACTACCTATACATTATGGGATCAAACTGACAACAGCAACTTGAAAGATTAGATAGGAACTTCAGGGGGCAGTGAGTTTATGTTAACGGGGGAGGAACAACTCAGAAAAGAAGGGTGAGAATGGTTGCACAACTCAAAGAATGTAATCAGTGTCACTAAATGGTATATATAGAAGCTGTTGAATAGGTGTATGTTTTGCTATGTATACTCTCAACAACAACAAAATAAATAAAATTAAAAAATAAATAGTTGAATTAAAAAAAAAAAAGAAGTCTCCCCATTAACACCTCCTGCCAACCTTCTCTACGGTGAGGTGATAACCCTGCATTTGACACCTGTGACTGAGGTTTCCAATAGCATTTGAGGAAAGGAGATCTTAATCACAAAGAGACAGCTCAACCTAGTAACCTATAACAATAAAACAGGCACCTGGCAGGCAATTTTTGAACATGATAGCAAATCATTTAAATAAACTTGATCCAAAGACTAAAAGAACATTGTTATTGTTTTTGCTGGGTGCCATCGAGTTGATTCCAACTCATAGTGACCTCATGTGACTGGAGTAGAACTGCCCCATAGGATTTTCTTGGCTGTAATCTTTACAGAAGCAGATCACCAGGACTTTCTCCCACAAAGCTGCTGGGTGGGTTTGAACCACCAACCTTTCAGTTAGCAGCTGAGGGCTTAACCACTGTGCCACCAGGGCTCCTAAAGAATCATGATTAGCTAGGAAACGAAATCCACTTCTACAAGACCACCACCGTAGGAAGTGAAGCACTGCAGAGATCCTGTACACAGCCCTCTTTGGTGCTTGTACAGTCCTTACCTGACAGTCAAAGTCCTGGAAATTTCGTGTACCATTCTGTCAACAGAAGGCAGAAAACACAGTCAGTTTCCCCATGTGGCTTCCCCAAACGTGCAGCAAATTCAGTTCACAATGAAAGCAGTGGATGTGCAGCCTCTTGGCTGCCACAAAACTAAAATAGTTATCTTCAAAAGGCTTCAGAGGCAGGTGGGTTACTAACATGCATTAGTAAAGGGAAAGGCTTTAGAGGTGAGATTACACTTTGGCGGGCTTACTGTGAATATAAAGGAAAGGAGCTTGGTTTCCCAGCTTATAACTTCTTGCCTCCCTACCTTAATCAGAGCAGTAAGAACTTGTGGGAAGAGAGTAAAACACGGGGCCAGAGTCTGAGAGTACACCCATAATATGTACAGAAGTACCTGGGAGGAAAGGAGTTGGAGGACAACCCTAAGGGTGCTGAAGAAGAACAGAAGCCATAATACCCAGAACCAGGAATTAGAGAAAGGATTAAAAAGGGGACAAAGATAATGCATGGATCAGAAATGGAAGACTTGAAATCTAATAAAGAAGAAAGGAAGTATTACTGAAGGAGGGAAAGAAAGACAAAACAGGATCCTTAATACACTGGCATCTATCTGTTGTATCCCATAAAACTGGTGATGGGAAAAAAGGACAAATCACCGAATCATTTAAAAAGCAGATCATGGCAAAAAAAATTCAAGGCGAATTCACCAAGCTTCTAAAAAGGGATTACAATATAGTAATGTTTGATTGAAAAAAAAATCAATGGTAATGACTCAGAGGTATTTTTGCAGCATTTCAGACGCCAGAGTTGCAAGAGTATGACATAAAGTATGAAAAGGGTAACGAGTGATGCATTTGGAAAGAAAAAAAAAAAAAAAAACCTGCCAACTTGATTTTTCACTACGTATAAGCATCTCCCATGAAAAAACCTCTCATTATTCTGAAACTGTGTTATCGTATCTATTCTGTCTCTACAATGGCTTCCTGAAGGCCTGGAGCTGCCAAAAAATACCTTTTCAAAAGTTGCTCCTCCAGAGAAGATCTAGAAATCTGATGCCAAGTGAGTACTAAGCACAATCCCACCCCACTTCAAGATTCTCTTAAGGATCCTATTAAAAACACTTCTTCTGTATTCTACTACCCACACTGCTGGAAGGACAAAACAGTTAAGAGGTTAAAAGCACAGACCAGTGTGATACAAACATCCAAAGAAACAAAACTGTCCTCCTCATGAGAGTAACAAGTGGAATCAACTGGGATGATACAGAGTTACTGGGATGATACAGAGTTGCACTATCCAACATGTGGCAATTTAAATTTAATCAAAATTAAAGTCAGTTTCTCACTCATATTAGCCATGTTTCAAGTGCTCAATAGATACATGTGGCTAATGGCAAAGTTATTGGGCAGCACAGACACAGAACATTTCCATCACTGCAGAAACTTCTACTGGACAACACTGCTCTAGAGACAAAAAGCTTTTGAAGGAATAAGGTTATGGGTTATCAGCCCTTGTTTCTCTAAAGGTAGCAGTAAAGTCACAACAGATTACCACCGAATAGATGCCACTGAAAACAGGCAAGAGACAGCTAATCTGAAGTATTATTCCTGGCATAAAACTGAGTTCACAAAATAAAGTCTGGTTAGCCTGCAGATAGAACTGGGTAGCACACTTCCAAGGATTGTTGCAGTTGGTAAAAAGGATTATAGTGTTCCACGGCTTCAACTAGCCCCATGAAATGCCTGAGAACTTCTTCAGAGAAGTTATTTTGTTTAATTTCCAGTTAGGCTATGATAGGCAGAAGGAAGGAAGGGCCTTCTCACGGACTAGGGTAGATGGTTTCGGTAGGATATAAAAGGACCAGTTGGTGAACTCCCTGTTTCTAATTCCACTTGCACCTTCCCCAAAATGTAGCAGAGGACCTGGTATAAATCAGGTGCCTGATATATATTTATAAAATGAATAAGCCAATATAACATAATGAAATGTTGAGGGTTTATTTCTTAGATTTTGGGACAAAAACAACAAAAAACTCTACAACATTCCAACTTAAGACACAATATGGTTATTAAATGAAAAAAAAAAGTAGGATAGAAAATGGTCTTTACAGTTTGATATCAACTACATTTAAATATATGTTAAAAAAAAGAGACCTGAAAAAAATGAACGTTAATAAGAGCAGCTATTTCTGGGTAGAGATATTATGAGTAATTATAATTTTCTTTATACTTTTCTACAGTGAGCATGCACTTCTCCTTCTGTAATTAGAAAACTGGAAAAAAGGATTTATTACGGTATAAAGATGTTTGTAACTTGTAATATAAGATTTAAAAATTCACTTAATTTTTTGAAGAATGATTTATAATGATGTCACAACAGACCATATTAGGGCTTCAGTCTTACAGGGCTCCCAGAGGTACCTTTCGAGATTATTTAGAAAGATTAAAGAAAATCACTCTAGCCTGCACTAAAATCATGGTCATAGAATAAAGAGCCACAATTTCTGATGAGCTCTTTGGGAAGCAGCTGTCACTGTATGAACTTCATTCCTCATAATCATGTGATCACAGTGAGGAGGCATTTTGCGAGGCTCTGAGCCTCTGAGATGAGTACATAGGGAAATATCAAAAATGGAAACACACAATTCCATCGAGAAACCCAAGCTATCTCTTGTCTGTTGAGTACCTAGCAAAAAACAACTAAGTGTTCTTAATCCAATATACACAGCGAAACTCTCAGGTATAAAAGAAAGTGAAAAGGATGCTATTATTTCTGACAAAAAGTACTAATAGCTGGAGAAGGACTATCTAACGTTTGTTTTCATGGCTTTTTTTTCTTTTTTTCTTTTTAAGAGATGCAGGACCCTCTTGGAGAATGGCTTTGGGCTTTATGAGTGACCATCCTGGAAAAAAGGATCTGACTGGATCTGTTTGATAGTGTTTGGCATCAGAGTTTCTGAATGGAGATCATTAGCTGGTCCCCCACTCAACTGTGGTTAAACTGACAGCATATCCTCTAAACTCATTAAAATTCAATACTACTCACTGGGGGCATTCTGGAAGGCTGAGGACTTCCCTGGGGCCCAGAACAAAGTGACCTATTTGTCACTGGTTCCACTCTAACAAAACTTCTAGAAAAGTCAAGCTGCCGGTGCTTTCCTTTCTCTCTCTGTCCGTTTTGAAGGTATCATAAATTCCATGTTCAGAGAGATTCCTGTACTAAACAGACTTAAGTAGCAGAAAGGGATTCGAGAAAACAAAACAATAGGATAATTTGGAAGAAGAGAGAAAAAAGAATAAATCAAGGCAAAAGATCAGTTATTACTGAAAGTTGCAGTCACAGTAGAAGCTAGCTAAGAGGAGTATTTCCTGGTGGAGCCTCAGTGCCAAATGCAGAAGGTAAATGAAGTAGCTCAAGAAAGTAAATTAAAAGCTAGCAATTCTCTCAAATATAAGCCTAGAGAATAACCAAAAAGCAACTGAGAAGAGGTCAATGAATGAAGAGAAGTATGAAAAAAAATGGGGAGGGGGATGTTAAAAAACAGGTAATTACTAGGGAGAAGAGAGACATAGTTTCCCAATGCAAGATCTAGTCAAGAGGCATACATAGTTTCAAAAAACAAAAGGTAACATACATAATAGAAAGAAATATGAGATACATAAGACCTGAGAATTGATTTGGGGGTGAAATCACATGTTCTGTGAATCTGAAGTCAGAGACTGTATCTGATTCACTACTCTATTCCCAATCCTGGTATTTAGCAAGTAACAATAAACATTATTTTGTAGAGGTTATGAAAATCTCAAAATAAAGATACTTGACAAGTAAGAAATGAATATCAGAGGGGGTTCCATGCAATTGATGCGCTGGGAACTAAAGTGGGCAGAAGTTTACAACAGCAAAAGTTTTAGAAACAAACCGATAAAAAACTATCAAAGAGAATAAAATATAGCATTTCTATTAAGGAAAAAAAAGACAATAATCCTTACCAACAGAAAGTGGAAAGAAAGATGGGAAGCTGTACAAACAGAAGGATTAGATAAGCCCAGAAAACACTCAGTTTTTCTTTAATAATAAAGATTAATAAAATCAACTAATATAAAATAATAAATCAATATTTTACAATTGTCAGTAAGCCATTTTAGTAGAAATCTGTTCAAGCTGATAATGGAGAGACAAAAGTAGAAATTCTATATATGGTGTGTGTGTATGCACTTTAAGTATCTATACTATTACCTTCAGAAAAAATACTAAGAAACTGAGGCTTCATAAAGAAATTTATAAAAAGTTTAGATACCTAGATAAAACAATCTCCAGGTATAATTATCTACAGATTGCTAAAAAAAAAGACAATTTCAATTTTAAAATAACCTTCAACATAACATACTATCAGGCTAATGTTAAGTGTCACTGGCCCCTGCATTAACAATTATTTGTGTACACGGCTAAGGTGTGGCTAGGGCTAGAGCTCTTCCCACCATCTCCTGCTGTCTCTAGTAGCTGGTTGGGAGTTGTCTATCATAATGGCATCATTACTTGCTTCAGAACTCATTTCCTGCTCCAGTCCCACCTAGGGCATTTCTCACAACAGATGTAACAATCACCTCTTAGTCAGCATATTAAAAGACACCCTCTAGTCCACACTAGATACAGCACTTCATGAATATTCTTTAATGAAAATGTCAATAAATCTGTTTTCAATTGCAACTGCTTCCTTTTCCTCCCCCTCCACCCCACCAAGAGACTCTGGCACAAATCCTTCGCCTGTCTCTGCTGTCCTGGAGGTTACAAAAATACTTATCCCTGGATTCCCCTTCTCTAATTTCAATATCCTTCTCCCTCCCCTGCTTATATTTCCAGTCACTGGTAGAAAGGGAAACTTAAACTGTAACAGGGTTTACCTCACCTTCTAAAGTAACAACCAAAACAAAAGAAATAACTTGTTTCCTTTCTCCCCACTAAACATTTATTCCCCTTCCTGATATTTCCTCTAATTACTCAGAAGCCAACTGTGCCCCCTTACGTGTTTTCCCAAGCCTGGCTTTTGCCTTTCAACCAGGCGCAGTAGTATCTTAACCAATAGCAGGGAGAGGAAACCAGTAAAAAAAAGGACAAACCAGTCAGCTCTCCTGCTTGTTACTAGGTTTGTTGGCTGAGGGGGTTGAAACAACCAGTTGCAACAGGCAGCAGGAGATAGCAGGAAGAACCCGAGACCTCCTGATCCAGGTCTAAGTCAAAAGACATAGTTTCTATGTCCTGACTTTAACCCTTTTCCTAGACACTAGCTTTGGACAATTCAAATAACCTCTCAGAGCCTCATTTGTAAAATGGAGTTAAAAACACTTCTTCACAAGAGGTTGGGAGACTTAAAAAATCATTTTATCTGCCTGTGCAATCTCAGCCCCCCGAAACAAAGATAAGTGCTGGCAGTTGCTTCTTTTCATCACTGGAGCCAAAACAAGAATGTCAAAATTACCCACTTCTTCACAATTCTGAGCAGTAGACAAAATTACAGGCGTACTAAAATTAAATGGGAAAAGTACCAACAAATGACAAGAGACAAGTTAACATAAGCCTCCCTTAAAGCTATATTGAGAATGCTGCCTTACAGTCATCTCAGGACAAATTTCTCCATGATAGGTTGGGACTAGACCTCCTTTAGTTCCCTGAAGCCTAGAAGGATGCAGTGATCTCTTCGGCTAAGAGTGTATTTTTTTAGAAGGTGAGATGAAATGATACGTCTCTCACAGGATACAAGGAAAAGATTAGTCTGAAGGACTAACTGTCCACAGCTACCAAGGCCTCCACGGGACTGAGTCCAGTACAGCTAGGTGGTGCCTGGCTACCACCACTGACTGCTCTGACCAGGATCACAACAGAGGGTTCTGGACAGAGCTGGAGAAGGATGTAGAGCATAATTCTGGCTCACAAAAAAAAAGACCAGATTTACTGGCCTAAAGGAGACTGAAGAAACCTCAAGAGTATGGCCCCCAGGCACCCTTTTCGCTCAGTGGTGAAGTTACCTCCGAGGTTCACTGTTCAGCCTGGGAGTGGACAGCCCCGTAATACCAAATGAGACTAACGAGGTACAGTAGTCCAGTGACAAGGGCCAGAAGGCAGAAGGGGACAAGGAAGCTGATGATAGGGAACACAAGGTTGAGTAAGGATATTGTTGATGTGTTGTGAGATTGTTAACCATTGTCACAGGGCAATATTTGTAGTAACCGTTAAATGAGAAACTATTTTGTTCTGTAAGCCTTCATCTTAAGTGAGAATAACAGCACAATTGGAGGAGCGTAGTCAATGTCACTGAACTGTGTATGTAGAAATTTTTGAAATGGTGTATCTTTGGCTATGTGTATTTTCACAAAAAAAAAAAAAAATGTTGAGAAGTTAAAGTTAGAGGGTTAATATGTTGTGGGGTTGTTAACCAATGTCATAAAACAACATGTGTACTACTGTTTCATGAGAAACTATTTGTTCTGTAAGCCTTCACCTGAAGTACAATAAAATATAAAAATAAAATTAAAAAAAAAAAAGAAATGATACATCTCTCTAAGCTTCTCCTTCAAGAGACAATGCAAGCCACAGATGTGATGCCAAAACATCAACAAGGTCAACACTGTGGGAAGGGCTCAGGTTTTGGAGTCCTGACGACCTGGGTTTCAGTCCTGGCTCTGCCACTTCCTGACTGAGCAAATCAGCCTTGCAGTCTCAAGTTTTTCAACTGTGAAGTGAGAAATAATACTATCTACTTCACAAGAATACTCTGAGGATTAAAAGAGACAAAGTACGTAAAGCACTGTGCACAAAAAGTGCTTAATAGATAGTAGAAGGCATTGGTGGTTCAGTGGTAGAATTCTTGCCTTCCAAGCAGTTCTCAACCTCAGGAGCTTTCAAAAACCTTCAACCACACCCCAGACCGATTCAGTCAGAATTTCTGGAGGTAGGACCCAGACATTAGTAATTTTTAGAACTCCCCAGCCAAAGTAGAGGACCATTGCTCTGAGGTAGGTGTGTGTTTAATTTTCCTGGGCTCCACCTCGGAGATTCTGATTTAGTTGGTCTAGAGTGGGACCCAGGAATCTGTACTTTTAAACAGTTCCCCAGCTGATTCTGATGATCAGCCTGGTTTAGGATAGATACTGCCTTTCTGAAGCTAAACTCCCTCCTGCCTTGTAACTATTCATTTCTGTTGCTACAGGCAAGCTTTACAGATGCAGATTTTTTCTTTCCTCCTCTTCATGGTGCATCATTTTCGGACAGCACTTCACATACACAAAAAAAAAAACAGTACTTAAAGAAGGAGAGAGAGCTTTCTGAAAACGTGAGGGGAAATGGCAGGAGAAACCAAATGGGGTTAAAAAAGTGTCCAGCTTGTCAAGGGAGGAACAAGAAATCTGGTGAAAGATAAAGGACAGAATGGGAGTACGGACAAAGAGAAGTCACAGGAATGAAAATGGAGCTGGCAAGATTCAACAGTGAATTAATAAAGACATAGTAAGTCAGTGGCCCCAGAAGTGGCAGGTGGAGGGCCTTGCTTTGGGCAGAGAAAGATAACAGACAACAGCATCCCATCCCAATCTCGTCCACCTTTATCCTTACTCTCCATCAATACTTCCTTCAAAGATTCACACCAAGCTGCAAGAGATTTTAAAATATGGGACAATGACAATATACTAAAACAATAGGGTTCACACTGGCAGATACAGGTTTTGTAGATATTTCTATCAGGGTTATACTAGCTTCATAGAGTGAGGCTGGGAGTATTCCATCCTTTTCTATGCTCTGAAATACCTTTAGTAGTAGTGGTGTTAACCCTTCTCTGATAGTTTGGTAGAATTCTCCAGTGAAACAGTCTGGGCCAGGGCTTTTTTTTGTTGGGAGTTTTTAAATTACCTTTTCAATCTCTTGTTTTGTTATAGGTTTATTTAGCTGTTCTGCCTCTGTTTGTGTTAGTTTAGGTAGGCAGTGAGTTTCTAGAAATTTGTTCACTTCCTCTAGGTTTTCAAATTTGTTAGAGTAGAATTTTTCATAGTATTCTGTTATGATTCTTTTAATTTCAGTTGGGTCTGTTGTGATATTGCCCATCTCATTTCTTATTCAGGTTATTTCCTTCCGCTCCTGTTTTTCTTTTGTCAGTTTGGCCAGCAGTTTATCAATTTTGTTGATCTTTTCAAAGAACCATCTTTTGGTCTTGTTAACTCTTTCAATTGTTTTTCTATTCTCTATTTCATTTAATTCTGCTCTAATTCTTATTATTTCCTTTCTTATGGCACTTGAGGGCTTATTTTGCTGCTCTCTTTCTACTTGTTGGAGTTGTAGGGCTAATGTTCTGATTTTGGCCCTTTCCTCTTTTTGGATGTATGCATTTATTGCTAAAACTGACCTCTGAGCACTGCTTTTGCTGTGTCCCAAAGGTGTAGATATTTCTAAATACACAACTGCAAGTGCTCCTCATATATTAACAGCACACAAGTGGCACAGTCAGGGAAACCTCTTAGACATAACCAAACACCTCACGGGATGAAGTCCCTAGGCTTGAAGGCAAAGGACTATAGACTCGGGGGACTTCTATGTCAATTGGCACAACATAAATCATAAAGACAATGTCCTGCATCCTACTTTGGTGAGTAGTGTCTGGAGTCTTAAAAGCTTGTGAGCAGCCATTTAAGATGTAACTATTTGTCTCTTCTAGTCCAGAGCAGAGGAGAATGATAAAAACAAAAGACTCAAGGGAGCAATGAGTCCAAAGGACTAATGGACCACATGAACCACAGCCTACACAACCCCAAGACCAGAAGAACTAGATGGTGCCCAGCTACCACTACTGCCTGCTCTGATTAGGATCACAATAGAGGATTCCCGACAGAGTGCAACAAAAATGTAGAACAAAAACCCAAATTCACAAAAAAGAGCAGACTTACTGGTCTGACAGAGACTGGAGGAACCCCCAAGACTATGGCCCTAAAACACCCTTCTGACCTAGAACTGAAGCCATTTCCAGGGACCACCTTTCCAGCCAAACAACAGACAAGCCCATAAAATAAAAAATAACACCTGAAAGGAACGTGCTCCTTAGAACAATCAATTATCTGAGATCAAAAGGGTATTATTTGCCCAAAAGTAAAGATGAGAAGGCAGGAAGGGGTAGAAAATCGGTCAAAAAGAAATGGAGAGCCCAGGGTAGAAATGGAGAGTGCTGACACATTGTGGTGAATGAAGCGAAGGCCATAAAACACTTTAAGTACAAACTATTGAATGAGATTCTAATTTGATCTATAAACTTTCACCTAATGCACAATGAAAAAGAAAAACAGCATAGGGTTCAAAAGAAGGAATTCAGGTACATTTACTGAATGGAGAGGGTAAGTATTTCTTAGCTTTTTGGTCACTCATTTCACACCACTCTTTACTCACTGAGTCCTGGTGGCTGTCCACTACGCTGCTCATTCTGTAGTTCTCTAACACTAACATAAAAATGAGGTATATTACTGACATCCAGGCAATCATGATTAAAACCATGATTTTGACAGGAAGGTCACATCACAGACTTGACAAACTTTAGGGAGAATGTTGCAGCCGATGTACATCACCAGATAGGAACTGAAAGTCAAGACACCTCGATTCTAAGTCAAATCTCACACCTCCTCCCCCATATTTGCTGCTTAACTTTGCCATATTATTTTCCCCTTAACATCTCTATCCATAAAACAGAAAAATCTCAAGGATAACTTGATTGACTTTGGCCTGTGGAAACAAAAATAGGAAGAAAGAAAAGGGAAGGAAGAGTTCAAAAAGAGGAGAAAAAAAATATATTTAAGGAAGTATTCTCTCCACAGAACATCAAACTAAATATGTTTTGAGTTAGCTACTAATCAGATAATATAGAAAATGAACTTATCTCATAAAAAAGACTTGTATATATTTTAGTGAAAACAGAGTAGTCTTTACCTTATCATTTAGAAGTGGTTTGATCTCTGTGAGTTGAACATCCTGAAGTTCATCCATGAGGACAGATGAGAGTAGAGGATTCTCAAGAACAAATCAGTAATTCTGAAACAGAAGAAAAGGAAGTGAAGAAAAAGGCTTAAGCCAGGAGTTGGAAACATGATAGTCACATACATTCACTCATTCAAATATTAACACTTATTACGTGTCAAGCATTGCTCAGGGTATGAAGACACAGACTCTAAAATGGCCTCCATGATCCCTGCCTCCTGGTATTCATACTCTTGTGTACTTCCCCCGCTTGAGTGTGAACAAGACCTGTGACTTGCTTCTAACCAACAGAATAAGGCAAAGGTGACAGAATGTACATGAGTGTCTATCCATGATTATGTTACGTAAGATTTAACATCTGTCTTGTTGAGAGATACTCTCTCCCCTGCTGGCATGTTAAGAGACGGCCACATGGCAGGGAACTGAGGGTTGCCTCCAGTTGAAAGCCAGCAATAAATTGGAACCATTAGTCTGACAATCTATAAGGAACTGAATACTGTCAACAGACACACGAGTGTAGAAGTGTATCCTTCACCAGCTGAGTCTCAGATGAGAAGCCAGCCCTGACCAACACCTTGATTGCAGCCTTGCAGAGGATCCAGCCCAGCCAAGCCAAGCCAGACTCCTGACACACAGAAAACATGAGATAGTAAATGTGTGTTGTTTTAAGCCACTATGTTTGTGGTAATACAGTTGTGTAGCAATAGACAGCTAATACAACAGTCTTTGTCTTTGTGGACTGTACATTTTAGTTACTAAAGATTTATAAGCAAGAATGCTCTGAGCAATAGTTTGGAGGATGGATTAAGAGAAGACAAGAATTGAAGGTTGGTGCTGTAGTCTAGAATGAGGCCTGGAATTAGGAATGGCAATGGGAATGAAGAGGCAGATGAACCAAGGCTAAGCTCACTAGTCTTAGCTCAGGGAATCACAGCAGTGGATAGAGAGTATAGTAGCCAGCCTCCAAGATAGCCTCCAATGAACCCAATCATCCTTGACTCTTGACATTTATACTCTTGTGTAATCTCCCACCCAAATGAATCAGAGATGGTCTGTATAACCAACAAAATACAGTGGAAGCAACAATATGTGACGTCCGATGCTGGGTCATAAAAGGCATTGTAGTTTCTGCTTTAGTGCCTGGAATCTTTAGCTCTGGTAGAAGCCAGCCACCATATTGTTAGGATACACAAGCAGCCCTTTGGAGAAGCCATGTGGAGAGCAACCAACTTGCCAATACCAACCTGCCTGCCATATGAGTAAGTCACCTTACAAATGGATCCTCCAGGCCGTCAAGACTTCAAATCACTGTAGCCCCAGAGACATCTGACTGCAACCTCATGACAGATCCTGAGCCAGAACTGCCTTACCAAATCTGCTCCCAAATTCCTGATCCACAAAAACCATGAGTGATAATAAATGATTTTGTTTTGGAGTGATCTGTTACATAGCAATAGGCAACTAATGCAGAGAAAGAGAGATGATAAGGAAACAGGGTTCTGGGAAGAGTGAGAAACTGGAAGGGGGGAGGTAAGATAATGAACCATGAATCCTTCCTCCAGCTCACTGTGCAGGAAGCCATGGAAAGAGGCTACAGTCACTGGATATTGTGGGCAAGTGATTCCCACCTTGACTTCAGAGCTCCAGGCTTTGTCTCCCATGCCGTGGCCCTCAATTCATCAATTCAGAAAAAATGCTAACTCTTATATGAGTCGGGGTTTCAGCCATTCAACAACCATTTATTGAGCATCCACTGCTGCAAAGCACTACAGAAGATACAAAGAAGGTTTCTGCTTTCCAGGAGTTTACTACAAAGTAGAGATGACAGCTATACATAGAATTACAAAATAAGAAATAAAAAGGAGGGCCATACGGGCTTAAAGAAGGAGCAATTACTTCTTTTTGGTAGGAATCAAGGAAGCCTTCACAAGGGAGGTGACATCTGAGTCAGGACTTGAACTGCCAACCCCTTGGGATGGCAAATTGATAATGATGGAAAACTATGATGAATCTTTCCCATACTGGTCTACTACATTAATCTACTTTTCTGTTTACACTCCAGAGATAGGATGGCATGGTTCGATTTAATTAGCTATGGAAAGGGTATGTGTTCCAGGCTACCTTTTAGCTATTATTGACCAACACACCAAAATAAATGGTGTGACTACATTAGGGCAGACTAACAAGAACCATTTTATCACTCCTCCGGGAACCTAAAGGGTGCCAATAGGGACACAGTCCTCCGACTATGGCCCCCACATGCCAGTCAAGAGCATCCTAAACATCCGAGATTCCTAGAGGGCACAAGCCTAATGATATTTAATCTTCCTGTAGGACAGCGGAAACCCTGGTGGTACAGTGGTTAAGTGCTATGGCCACTAACCAGAAGTTTGGCAGTTTGAATCCACCAGGCGCTCCATGGAAACTTTATGGGGCAGTTCTACTCTGTCCAATAGGGTCACTGTGAATTGGAATCAACTCGATGGCAACACGTTTCTTTTTTTTTGGTATAGGACACTGGTTCTCTTCTCAGATCCCAGTTACCCTATAAACTTGATTGACCTACTGAATGCCCAGAAGCTAAATTTTCATTTTATTTTGTTTTATACCTGTCACATTTCAAAAGAGGATGAGGTGGCTTGAATTTTATACCTCGGATTTCAGCCAACATCTGCAATTCTCTCACAGTCTCCACTTCAACCCAGTTAACTCTCATAATATGGGCCTTACTAGGACCTATTCATAGTGTGTTTATTAATCACATTACAAACTGTGGCTACTTTTCATTCATTTGGACTTCACTATTTATCAGTTATTTAAAATGGTAATTTTAAAGTTTTTTTTTTTCCTTTTATAAAAATAGTATGTGCTTCTTAGACTCCTCATTGTGGATTAACCTTGTGGCGCAAATGGTTAATGTGCTTGGCTGCTAACTGAAAGGTTGGTGATTCAAATCCACCCAGAGGCACCTCAGAAGAAAGGCCTGGAGATCTACTTCCAAAACATCTGCCATTGAAAACCCTATGGAGCACAGTCTTATTCTAACACACATGGGGTTGCCATGAGTCAGAATTGTCTCAACGGCAATTGCTTACGTGCTCACTTCAGAAAATTTGTAAATCACAGAATGAAAGGATATTTTATTCATAGTCCTTTTATCCAAAGTTAACCACTGTTAATATTTTAGTCTATTTCCATTTGTTATTTTTTTCCTTGTAAAATGATGATTCCTTCAAACTGTTCTTCTAATGCACCTGCTCTATTCCCTACTTTAATTCACTCACTTGACAGCAGGGCACTTCAAGATGTTAATTACTCAAATGACTCCATGTGGGCAGGCCTGTCAAGGAGGCTCAGGGGCCAGAGGAAAGCCTGAGGCGCCCTCAGGTCCAAAGTGACTGGCATTCACCTAGTGTTCTGTGCATTTTTTAAATATGAAGAAAAATGCAACATTTGTGCCAGGACAAACACTTAAACAAGGACACAAATTAAATAAGGCTGTCCCTATCAGCTGGGCCCAGTGCAGACTCAGAACAAGAATGCTGTGCAGGACAGTGAGCTGTTCCAGTGTGACTTAGGAATTGTCAACAAGACAGTGGACATTCACCTTCCATATATTAGGGGACCTAATGCTTTCTTTTGGAGACTTAATTTTTGCTCAGTTCTCATTGTCCCAAGCCTTTGCCAACTAGCAGTTTTATAATATCTAAAAGAACACCAAGATCACATGGTAAAAAATTCCATCTGCAGATCCCTCAGCTGCACAGAATGGCTCCCTCCTGGGATCTAAGGCCTGCAACTCCCTCATCTGTACAAATGATATGGCTACCAAATCCCATTCTGGTACTAAGAGCCATTAATATTTTCAAAAGGCTAGTAAGGATTTTATAACCTGCAGTAGGCAATAAAATGTTTACCGTCTTTCCTAGTCTTAGAAGGTAGAGAAGGCATTGACAAGTAAAAACTAGACATCCTCAAACTGAGGAAGTGAGCCTGGGACCAAATAGCTGGAAAAGGAAACGGGAAAAGGAAGGCACCTGCTCTGTGACAAAATTATAATCTAAGCACCTTATGTTTAATCCTAATAACAATTCTCTTAAGTAGATATTGCTTCTTCTTTTTTTTTTTTTTTAGAGATGAGAAACTTAGGCTCAGAGAATTTAAGTAACTTTTCCAAAATCCCACATTTAATTAATAGGGCAAAAATTTAAAAACCTTTCCTTTTCTCACATACCATAATGTCTGCACCGGGCTTCTTCTATGGGTTGTAGAACTCTGGGCAAGTTCCTTTCTTTCTGTCCACACCGCGGTACCTGCCTCCTTGAAGTAAAGGTAAGAGAAGCCTAGAGCAATCCTGTATCACCAATGACTCAGACATCTTAGAAATGATGGCTTGAGTCAATTACACCAGGACAAGAATCCTTACTATCTCACTAGTTAGCTGAGGACAAGGAGAAGATGGAATGAGTAGGGAAAAGAGAAATAAAATTCCAGTTATTGTCTGTTAACCAGTTTCAGAAACAAGGACTATTTCTTGCTTATTAGAACAGTGCATGTCAAACCAAATCCCAAGACCTGGGGATCTTGTTTAGGATCTTTGACTAATCAGTTTTGAATGATGACAATCAACATGTGACCTCATCAGCTGAGGAGGAGTGGAGATCATTTGAGTTGAGGAGGTGAGGAACTGAAAGGCCTGATTATCAGCAAAAATCCTTAATAGAGAGAGATGACAAGGATGGAGTTGTTGTCAGGTGCCGTCGAGTTGATTTCGACATATAGCAACCCCATATAACAGAGTAGAACTGCCCCATAGGGTTTTCTTGGCTGTAATCTTTACGGAGGCAGATCGCCAGGTCTTTCTCCCACAGAGCTGCTGGGCGGATTAAAACCACTAACCTTTTGGTTAGCAGCTGAGCACTTAACCATTTGCGCCACCAGGGCTCCTCAAGGATGGAGCACTCTTAACTTCATCCTGCCTTGTTCTATAAAAGAATTCAGTCAGCTAGGTGGGATTTTAAAAAGATTCAACAGGACAGATGAACTAGAAGGAG